CCGCAGCCAGAGCAGAGGGTCGCTGTAGCGTGCCCAGGGAAACCCACTGGGCTGCTGTGGGGGCCCAGAAGGTCATTTTGGTGCTGGAAGGAGCCCAGCTCGGTGGCCGGGTGCCCGCTGGCGTGTCTCCCCTCGCCGTGACGCGGTGTCGGGGAGCAGGTCGCTCTGGCACCTCTCCGCAGCCCGAGTGCTGGGCTGGGGGGGCAGAGTGCAGGCTGTGGTGCCCCGCGGAGCAGGGATTTCCTTGCTCTGCTCCGTCAGTAATAACACGGCTTCTGCTTCTCTGCGAGCCGCGATCCTGACCTGTCGCGTTGGACTGACGTGCTCTGAGGCACTCGGCGTGCCCAGTCTGTCTTTATTTCGGCAGATATTTGGTTATTCAGCCCCTCTCTGTGGGCTGCAAGCGAAGGTACCGTTTGTGCTGCTTGCCTGGCTCCTGTGGTGGGACCGAGGGTTCCTTCCAGTGGAAAAGGTCGTAGAAACCGGTTGTAGATGAGTGCCGAGGCAGGCTTGTGCGTCACACCGCCTTTGTTGCAGTGTACCTGGAGACGTACGGCTGCCAGATGAACGTCAATGACACGGAGATCGCCTGGGCCATCCTGCAGAAGAATGGCTACACGAGGACAAAGGACCTGGGTGAGGTAAGGCACCTTGGCAGCTCTCCTGCAGCGCCGGTCTGCGGGGGCGTCGCACCGCTGCTCTGCCTGTGCGTCCCAGGCTTTGTCTGGGGTGCAGTCCTGCAGGAGACCCCCCCTGCAGTGCTGCCTCCAGCTCTGGGGCCCCCAACAGCAGAAGGACACGGAGCTGTTGGAGCGAGTCCAAAGGAGGCCCCGGAGATGCTCCGAGGGCTGGAGCCCCTCTGCCCTGGGGACAGGCTGGGGGAGTTGGGGGGTTCAGCCTGGAGAAGGGAAGCTCCAGGGAGACCTCAGAGCCCCTTCCAGTGCCTGGGGGGGCTAGAGGAAAGCTGGGGGGGCTTTTCCCAAGGGTAGGGAGTGACAGGACAAGGGGTAACGGGGTTAAACGGAAAGAGGGAGATGGAGATGGGATATCGGGAAGGAATTCTTCCCGCAGAGGGTGGGAGCACTGGGACAGGTTCCCAGAGAAGCTGTGGATGCCCCATCCCTGGGACTGTCCAACGCCAGGCTGGATGAGGCTTGGAGCAACCTGGGCTATGGAAGGTGTCCCTGCCCATGGCAGGGGGTGGGACTGGGTGGGCTTTGATATCCCTCCCAACCCAAACCATTCTGGGATTCTATGATGTGATTTTTGCAGTCTGAGTTCTGTGGAGTGAAAGAAGCTGCTTAACAAGTGTGCTGGAAAGCTGTGGGTTTTTTCTTCAAACTGCTGGGCTGGCTCTCAGTCGGAGAGCAATTGGACACAGCGGGATGCTCCTGACTCATCTTTGTCTGGGTTTACCATTTAGTGGAAGTCTCTGCTTGTGTTCTGTGAGCTTCCTGCACCTTGGTTTGTTGAAACCCACTGTGTGCTCAGGCAGATCTTTTTCACCACGTTAACTGAGTTTATAATCTGTCTGGAGGTTACCTGTGCGGGGCACGAGTACTTGCCGCTTCCCTTCCACAAATTCTTCCTGCTCTGTTGTTTTTGATTTAGGCAGACGTGGTTCTCCTTGTCACCTGTTCCGTGAGGTAAGGAACTGCTGGTTTTGGACAGGTTTTAAGGAATCACCACTTGCAAACCAAGGCAGGAGGTGCGTGTGTGTGGGAAGGAGCATGCAGATGTGGAACTGTCTGGGTGGTGGAGGGTGGAGCTCGCTGCTGCTGCCGTGTGTCACCTTAGTTGTGCGCTGACCCGCTTTTCTGTAGAGCGAGCAGCAGCTCGTTGGAGGGGCAAGTTCTGTGCAGTGTCATGGGCCGTTGGAGACCTGCCCAGACCTGTGCTTTAACAATTTCTAATTATATTTTTAAGTCTGTCTTCTCCTCAACTGTCTCTCTAGCACAGAGCCTGCACTTAAAAAACCTGGGGAGTAAGTTTAGGGGCAGTTTGGGAACTGTTCTTGTGTTTCTGAGTGGAGAACATCTCGAATGCTCATTGTCACTTGCCAGGTAGCCCACCCTGGCTGGCCAAGGCAGACTTGTTCTCCGCAAGAGCTTAGTCCCCGCGTGGTTTGTGCAGTGCTGACGCTCCCAAGGGAGCGAGACGACAGTAGATAAGATAGAGTCAAGACCTAATCCACCCCGAACGGCAGTTTCGTGTGCTGTCAGACCCATCAGGTGGATGATTCCCTGTCTTTAGTTGAATTCTCCTCTCAAAGCACTTGGGCTGCTTCCCGCTGGGGGACTCGAGTGCAAGGATCGGGATAACCGCTGTTTTCCTGCTCTCCCAGGGAGAAGGCAGAGCAGGCCATCTGGAATCGCCTGCGGCACCTCAAGGCGCTGAAAGCCCGGCGGCAGCAGGCTCGCTTGCCTCTCCGCATCGGGATCCTAGGTACCTGGCGGGATGCGTGGCAGCGGGTGGCATGCGCGGTTGTGCCACGTCCTGGCGTGCTGCGTTTCCTCTTCCCCTCTGGCAGCGTCCGGCCTTTCCTGCAGGGCCGAAGCAGCTAGTGCCGGGCTGCAGAGGTGTAACGGCGCGTGGGCGCCTCCTCACAAGGACCCTTCTCCTTTGGCGGCAGGATGCATGGCCGAGAGGCTGAAGGAGGAGATTCTGCACAGGGAGAAGCTTGTCGATGTTGTGGCAGGCCGCGCTGGGTCTGGTGGGACACACACCCGCCGTTTTTTTAAGCTGCTAACGTCCTGCTGTCGCTAGACGAGACTTACGCAGATATCCTGCCTGTCCAGACCAGTGCCGGCGGCACGACAGCCTTTGTGTAGGTACCTTTTCTCCTGTGCATGTTTCTGTGGATCTGGTTTGGAACTGTTGCTGTGCAGAACAGACGGCTCGGTGACGGCAGCTTCCCAAGAGATGGAATGCCTGGCTGCGCTCGCTCCCGGCAGCCCAGAGGCGTGAGTCTGCCAGGCTCTGTTTGCTGCTTCTTGGCTGTGTGACTGGGCCCTGGAGAGGCTGCCCCGCGCTCTGGCTGTCTGCGGGCTGCTCTTACCCTCCTGTGAGCACGTTGGTTGTCTGAGCCCGATGCTGCACCGAGGGATTTCTGTCCAACTGATGTCCGTGCCGCTCTCAGCCCCTGCCTTCTGCTGTGTCCTGCCCCGGCTTCTCCTGTTTAATTCTTCTAATCCTTCGTGCATTGTGCCTTCTGTTGGGTTTGTTTCCATTTGTTTCACTTTGATAGTAAGATTCCCAAACATGAAATCAGACTGTGCTTGGCATGCAGAGGTCAGACCCTCTGCAGGAACAGGATGTGGGGGGATCGTTCACCACTGCCGGATCCCGGCGCGTGTCTGTGCTGCCCTAGTTGCTTTCCAGGCTTCTTGGAAACACCCATGAAAAATTAGGAGGTGCTGGCTAGGGGCAAGCAAAGCCAGCCCTGGCTGGGACAGCACTGTGTTCAGAGCTGGCGCGGTGTGTGCTGGGAAGCACAGGCAGCAGGGCCAGGCCGGGACAAAGCCAGGCAGGATGCGACGGGGATGATTCTTCCCGGGGTTCGTAGTATGACCGGTGCCTTCCCCCTCGGCAGGTCTATCATGCGGGGCTGTGACAACATGTGTAGCTACTGCATCGTGCCCTTCACCCGTGGCCGTGAAAGGAGCAGGCCCATCGCGTCCATCCTGCAGGAAGTGAGGATGTTCTCGGATCAGGTGAGGCAGAGCCTGTCCCAGAGGCGGGAGGGAGGATGGGTCTCAGTGGAAGCATTTTCTGTGGTACCTTTGAGAAATGACACTGCCTCTGTATGTGTCCGTTACCCCTTGTAACGCTCAGATGGGCAGGGAAGGGAGGGCTTCCCTCGGAACCTCCTTGAACTCCGAGTAAATCCGTGGCTGCCCTTGCAGCTTTGCTCTCCTGACTGGGTTATATTTTTCCCTCTCTGTTTTTGCAGGGCGTGAAGGAAGTGACCCTCTTGGGTCAGAACGTCAACAGCTTTCGAGACATGTCTGAGGTGCAGTTTCACTCGTCTGCTGCCCCCGTCCTCAGCCGTGGCTTTCGCACAGTCTACAAAGCCAAGCCAGGGGGCTTGCGCTTCGCACATCTCCTGGACCAGGTCTCTAGGATTGATCCCGAAATGAGGATCCGTTTCACCTCTCCACACCCCAAGGATTTTCCTGACGAGGCAAGTGTAAAATAAACACCCGGACCTCTGCTTGCAGGCAGCTCTGAACTGCTGGCTGTGGGCTGTGCTTCCTTCCCAGAGGGAGCACAGGGTCACAGAATGGGAACAGCAGCTCCTGGGAGCGGAATGTTTGTGCTGAAGCCTGCAGGTTTGGGGAATGCTGGCTTTTGCCCAAGGAGGGCTCATCCCCTTGGCACCCTGGCAGAGTTGAGCTGTCTGTGACACTTCTCCTGCCCGTCACAGGTCCTGCAGCTTATCCGGGAGCGACACAACATCTGCAAACAGCTTCACCTCCCAGCCCAGAGCGGGAGCACACGGGTCCTGGAGGCCATGCGACGAGGGTGAGTGATCGCTGTGGGGGGTCCTGTGTGCTGCCCTCTGATCCAGGGGGCCGGTTTCTCCTCCCCAGTGCCATTTTCTGATTAGCAAACCCGTGTGTTCACTGCAGATACACAAGAGAAGCGTATTTAGAGCTCGTACACCATGTGCGTGAGTCCATTCCAGGTAGGAGCTCCCTTTAGCTTGGCCTGAGCTCACCACAGCTGGGTCCTACTGCCCTTCCTGGAGGGAAGCGTAAAGCTGTGTCTCTGTTACAGGGGTGAGCTTAAGCAGCGATTTCATCGCCGGCTTCTGTGGAGAGACGGAAGAAGATCACCAGCAGACCGTGGCCTTGCTGCGGGAAGTCCGCTACAACATCGGATTCCTGTTTGCCTACAGCATGAGGCAGGTGGGTGCAGGACCTGGTGGAGGAGACATTTCTCTGGGTATCTCACCTAATTCCCGAGTGCTGTTTCTCACAGTAAGACTAAAAAAACCCCAAAGCTGTTGAAAACAGTGCCGGAAGGTCGGCCTGTTGGTAGGATTTCTTACTTGCATGCAGCACTTCTCGGGTGTGTGGCTCTGCAAGGGCCGTCGTTGTGCCTGAAAGGCTTCCAGCTCCCGTGTGTGAGCGTCGGGGTTGATTCCTGACGGGGACCTGCTTCTGCAGATGCTCCGGGGTGATCGCAATGCAGCGGCCACGGCTGCAGACACCCGGTGGGTTTTTCTCTGCTGATGAGAAATTGTGCTGACAGAAACTCTGTTGTCGAGTCTGGAGGGAAGTGGTGAATTCTCAGAAGGTATTTCCATGAGAAGAGGGGAGAGTTGGCAAGTCTCCGTTAGAATGCCCTCCAAAGGGTAGGATGCTGACGGAGAAGAGGGCAGGAGGCTGGGAGCACCTTTGGCTCACGGGTCTAGCAGTAGAATCCGTTGCCTGTCCTTGTGCACAGACAGGCAGACGGACCCCTCTCCCGTGGGAGATGCAGAGCTGCTTCATGCAGCCACCGATACTCAGCACCCACGTCACCCTACCAGAAAGGGTGCAGAAAGAACCTGAGGAACTCGGGGGGTGTCACTGGTGCTGAAAGCGCTCCTGAGGCTGTAACCACAGACTGCAGTGTGTGGGAAGCTGCGGCCTGGAGAGCAGCCGAGCTGGCTGGGGTCAGCCCAGGTTCTGATCGCTGGTGGTTGAGGGGCCACGCTGCCCTGTCTGTTTGCAGAAAACCCGGGCACACCACCGGCTGCAGGACGACGTGCCTGCGGGCGTGAAGCAGAGGCGGCTGGAGGAGCTCATTGCTGTTTTCCGGGAGGAGGCTACAAGGGCAAACGAGGCGATGGTGGGCCAGCCCCAGCTGGTGCTGGTGGAGGGGGTGAGTGTGCCTGAAGAGTTGGCCTCCTCTCCCCTTGCTGGCTCCAAGGCTCTTAGGCTGTGCACGGCCGTGGCTGCTCCTGCCTTCCCTTCTCGCTTTCCCCGCACAGTCCTAGGACTCCACGCTTGAGCCGACAGCCTGATTTTTCCAGAGCGCTGAGCGGCGCACAGGGGGATGGGATGGGGTAGGGGTGTCTTTGGCCCCTACCTTTGGCTTTGAGATGTTGGCTTCCGTGTGTGGGTGTGAACACGGCAGCTCTGGCCGCAGGACTCCGTTACCTGGCACACTTAGCGGTGCGGAATGCGGCTTTTAATACTGACGAGAGTGCTCAATTAATTCCTGAGGCAATAAAGCCCAGCAGTGAATCAGCTATTGCCATGCAGGTAATGTTCCCTGTCCTCCTTTCAGCCCAGCAAGCGCTCTGCCTCGGAGCTGTGTGGGAGGAACGACGGCAACATCAAGGTGATCTTCCCTGATGCCGAGGCCGAGGATGCTGCGGGCTGTGGGGCGCTGGCCATGGCCAGAGCCCAGCCGGGGGACTACGTGTTGGTGAAGGTGACCTGCCTGCAGCGCCCGTCCCCGTGGGCAGCGCTCTTCTCCGGAGCAGCTGCTGCCAGGGGAGCCTAAAATTAGAACGGCTC